GTGAAACTTTATAGAATGTGGAGGTTTTCTAATACACCCATTTTCTCATGAATCTTTACAGAATTTCTAACAAACACAAAAACAATATTTAAAAGAAAAGTCGATGTGATTTCCGTAATTGTTTGAGGTCCATATATTATGACGTGTGACACCCCATCGGGTATAATTTTTTTTTTTTTCAATTTCCACATATCTGGTGTTTCATCTGGTACATCCCAGTCACATTTTTCATTGATATAGTTAAACTGTTTGCATGAAACACATGTAACAATGTTAGTCTGCCAGTATGTGCAGGTTCTCTTACTTGCCAGAAGTGTACTCACATTTAAAAATTCAGTTTCCAATTTCCAAATAAAAATGAACTGAGTATATTGTATTAAGCAGAGTCAAAACAAAATTCTTTTTCATGTGTGGTTGGTCTGGCCCTTATGTTATACACAGGTCAACGGACACGAGAGCCTGGAAAAGATATTGGCAATAGTAGCATCCTGCCACGAGTTTTCAGGAATGAAATTACGTGTTAGTGAGAAGAAAACCCTCAACTTGCTCAATAAAGCGCGTGATCGCGAATGTGTCCGATTCCCACTGCCCACTAGAATCATGACAACAGAGATGAAAATCAACTGTCTTATTCAAGCTGTCCTCGGATGCTTACCGATTCACGAGCCATCCTTGAAACAGGACGTTCTCCGCATAATGTGGGTCGGGAAACGAGTGACCAATGCTCTAGCTCAGTATCTGCTCCAGCGCCCTCACTATCAAGCACTAGTTAGTGCCATTACTCTTGCCAAGTGCTTCCACTGTAAGCTGTGGGAAAACTCTCCTCACATGACAAGGCAGTTAAAGGGGATTGGAGCAGCCTTGTCATCAATGCTAGCAGTCTCAAACAAGACCACTTTCCAGTCCGTCATTGAAGCTAATCCACGAGATCTTGAAAGCATTCTCAATCGCCCTCCACCCACTGGTGACAATCTGAAAGCTGAAGTAAATCACCTTCCACACTTTGAACTGAGAACAGAAAGTGTGACAAGTATGTCAGTTACAAAACTTCACATCTGTGCCGAGATGACAAACCGCGCTGTCATACGAGAACACAATACAGCTGGAGAAAACCACTGGATTTTTCTTTTGGTGGGTGACTCTAACAACAAGTGCATATACAAGGAAAGGTTTAAAGATTCCTGTCTAATACAAGATACAAAATGTTGGAAGGTGGAAATAAAAGATCCATCCTCTGTTAATGAAGTGTATGTGAAGCTTATTAGTGAACAATGGGTTGGCCTGGATGTTCATTCTAGCATAAAGTTACAACCAAGAGAAGGAGTGCCTCTCAAAGTAAGGAATTCCATTGAAAAGTATCTAAAGAAACAAGAAGGCTCAGACCACGTAAGTCTGTCTTCCAAATGGTCCAACCCTCAAACAACGAAAAGGACAAAGTCTTCCTTTGTACACCAGATTAAAGACATGTCTGAAAAGAGACTTGGAAATGCACTAAGTATGACCCCAACTAAACTTACACTTAACAAGTACACTTATAGTCCTGCAAAAAAAATGAAATTACTTCCATCAGTGGATCAGCTAAAAAGGGTGGAACATGAAGAAATGGACGCCCTGTCCCAATTCTCCAGTTCTGAAAAACACCAAACAGAGCAAGTGAACCCAGAAATTAGTTTCAGACATGTTAAACCAAAACTAATAACAGATGAACAAGTTTATGGTCCGCACAAGCCCTCCAGTCTAGGGCACACAGAGCAAGAAATTATGCCCACACAAGATGACAATCAAATGGAAACCTTCTTGCAGTACCAGTCTACTAATGTCCTCAAAGGTCCAGAGACGCAATGGAACCAATACACAGTTACAAAATACAACACACATCCACCTGAAAAGAACACTGTAGAACTGCAAGACACCAGCACATGCAATTCAACTGGAACACGGCACACCCAGTCACCGACGGCTGGCAGAACAGGATTGGAATACGAGGCACCGAGGCCTCAACAGCCAACCGAAATGAAATTATCCACTGAACCTTCCACATCAAAACTGACTGAAGACTGCCATCAACCATTCAAAGAAAATGTTAAACTGCATGAAGACACCGCACTGCAAGAAAAGCACTCTGAGGTACAAGAAATCAATGCCACCGTCAATTCACAGTTACCTAATGGTTCCAATTTACACAACAATTCTCTGATGGAAGAGTGTAGCTCTGAAGAATCGAAAACAGAAGATTTTAATTTTCAGGACGGAACAGATTCTGCATATAAATATGTAACACCTGTACCAACCCTGTCCGTTGAGGCTCAGCGTAATCTCCGTGGAAAATACCTGAAAGCAGAAATGCTTCCAACAAATACGCCAACTTGTGACAACAACCTGGGTTTGCAGGATGAATTAGTTGCGTCATCTGACGTTGTTCAGTCAGAAAAGATCAGTTCTGAAGGTGAACACCCCAGGAAAAACAATTCTGTGATTATACATGAAGAGAGAGCAGTTCATGCATCTTATTCACCTATCAACAGAGAGAACACTGTTATAAATATTAATCGGAATGTAGATTCACTGCATACAAAAGTAAAGACATCAGTCAGGAAAAAATTAGTATTTCAGAAAACTTTACCCAAACACTACTACCCAATCTTCATCAAATCACTTGAATATGACACAAATGGGCCAGCAGGACTTTATTCTGGTAACTGTGACCAATCGACAGAAGCTTCTAATAAGTCAGCTTCGTCCCGAGTCATGAAAAGCACGCCGACTCTGCCTGACTCTGGGGAGGAAGTCACGTCCTCTTGTAGTCATACACAAAGGGCATCTCCTGAAAATGTGACTGAAAGAGTTAAAAAATTACACCCAAGCCCTAACAAAGAAGCAAATTTTTACACTTCTGTTCAAATGAAGAATGGAAAGTCATCTTTGTTACAACAGAGCTCTGAAGAAAAAACAGAAGGTTCTCTTACAAGCGAAAACAAACTTCAAGTCAATGAAGAGAGTAACACACAAAATGAGAAAACTGACAAGGATGATCACGAAGTTCCTGATTTTCAACTTGTCAAAGACATTGACAGTTTCCTTGCTGACATATCTGGTGAAGAAAATTCAAAATTTAAATGTGTCAATAAATCAAATAAGAAATGCAATGACAGCTTCAAAACTAATATACCTGCACTCACCAGATATTCAGCCAGGAACAATTATGTAAGTCGCATCATCCCACATGACAGCAATGAAGACGTACACAGAATTCGGAGGAATGACAGTAAGTACAAACCAATTTTAAACCTGTTACTCAAAGATGTTTCAAGAAGGGAAGTTACACCCTCTTCATCCACAGAGAGAGGATATGAAGAATCTGAAACAGAAGTACATTCGCAACTATTGTCACCAGAATTCCAGTTTCAGCCCACAAAGAAGGGAACACTTTCACAGTTTACACAGAAGTCGTTAGGAGATTATTCAAATACAATGCTCAATCAAAACTCTGATGACACACCTCCACTCAGTAACTTGGCGCAAACTTTACAACCACAAAGCAAAAATTGTGAGGGAAAATACACACAAAGCCAAGTGAACTATCACCCTTCGGTCCAAAAGGAACTGCCAAAGTTCACGTGTGATTCTGACGTTCTGCCCGGGGACATGAACAGATTTTTGCCAAAGAATGAAACCTACCAAAGGTGGAACAATGTTAGGACAGCAATTAGCGTCCCTATGCGACAGCCATCGCTATCTAGACAGAGAGAATCATATGCTCACATTTCAGAGACTGAAAATGCATCTTCTACACAACCCTGGATGTTTCCCTTTGAGGAACCAGAAACCAAAAGACTTGCTTTTTCTCAACCAGTTAAGTGCGTTACAGGAAACAATGAAAATCTCCCCAATTTAAACTCTCAGTGGCAAAAATATGAGATGTCACCAATACATTCAGATGAGTCACCTGAATATTATTAACTGATTGAATTACGTGCTACATTTGAATAAAGATCACTTCCCAACTGGTAGTTTTAATTAAATAAGTGCTTGCAAAGAGATAAAAGTGAACACATTGTGACAGAATGTCAGGTTTATCATTACGAAACTGATTTTCATGAAAAATGTCTACCATGCCTTTCAACCCAAGAGTTAACAGAACTCAGCACAATGATGTAAAAATACAAAGTTTCTATGCAACACTGAACCCCTCTAATGCTATTCACCAGGTGACATCTCTCCTCCAATGGAAGAGAAGTACGATAATAATGTGTTATATAAAAGATGGCCGATCATATTTGTTGTGGTAGCAGAAGTGCTCGTTATTCTCAGACAGCTTAAAATGTCACTAAGAAATAAATACCCTCCCCACCCTCCAGTGCTAAGGGCATAGTGCCAGATAAACAGTGAAAAATGCAACTGATTCCTAAAACATATATAAATGTAAACATCTGTATTCTGAATAATAATTGAACAATAATTTGTGTGTTTAATCTGAATAAAATATACCCATATTGCCACCAGCAACACTGCTGTTATACATTTCTCTGCTCAATATACACTCCTCAGATTTTAAGCAATTAAAATTTATTATATAAGTTTATTAATTTAAATTATGTCATAAATTCTCAGTGTTCTTTATTACTATGTCACCGAAAAATTAATGGCATTGGCTTCAGGCCAAGCTAGAAATAGTTAAACTCTCAGACTTTCATTATTCACTGTGAGAACCTTGGAGTGGTAATGGAAATCACTAAGGAATTTTCACATTTGTCTGAAGGGATTCCTCTGCGGTGGACTATTCCAAATTTCACACAAACATCTGATGACAGGTTAAGAGAAGGAAGTTGTACGTGGTACAAAAAAGAATTTAATCTTATCAACTACATGATCATCTGTTATGTCATTTACTTTAAAACTACCTTGTTCTAGTCACATAAGTAAAATATCATTACATTCAGTCCAAAACTTAATGCAGTCCATAGTGGACTATCGTAAAATACAAAGCACTTGTAAAGGCAAAATTACATCGCTATTTGACAAGCTATCAGTCTTTCATGACAGGAAATAAATCTCATGATAGCCGCAATGTTTAATTACAGTAACATAATGATTTAACATTATATCTATCATTTGGCCCACTGCAGCATAAAGTTATAAATTAAGTTTTGCAATTGTTATGAACTGTATTGTGCAGAATCTGACAAGCAGTCTGCAATACAAGGTATGGTGATGATGATGACTACAAAAACAATGATTTTATTTTGTGATGTACATAACGTGGTTTGCTTTCCGATGCTACCATTAAACTGGCAGGATCAACAAATGAACATACTTAAACACATTTTTCAGTCACACGACAAAATTCCACACAATTAGCTAATAAATAAATTGCAAATTTTTGCAATAAACTATTCTTAGTGACTCACAAGCACCAAACTCTAATTTACAGAAATAATATATTATAAAAAATTCAAAGAAAGAAAAGCAAATATTAGCCATCAGTACTTTAAGAGCTTAAAGTTCTCTAAAACACATGGAAGAACTAAGCACAAAAGAGCTTTACTTGGTGGTGTAATCTTCCTACATTCAATAGGCTTTGAAACAGTTCAGCACATTCTTAACATAAAACACAATGAATGAACTTAAATACGTCTCAACTGCATCAATGTCGTTTCATTATATCTGAAAGAGTTCAGCATTTGCGGCCACAGTCGCAAACCAACCCCTTCAGTATAATATCTAACCTAGGCTTGATTCATGGAGATGGGACCAAACAGAAGAAAAATAGCAGAACATATGATGAAGACGGCTGTCTTCTGGGTTACAGCACTGCACAGTCTGGTAGGCAATAATCAATCCGATGATGGAGGCAGCAAGGACCTCTGAAACGTTACTAAAGTTATATCAGACTACTTGGCACTACAACCCAGAAGACAGCCATCTTCAGACTCACTGATGTGAAAACTTCAAATCCTACTTACAACATATGATGTTCTGAACACTTCAAATGATAACTTGAAGGTCACTGACAAAAATTAAAATGTTGTTACACTGCAGACACAGTATATTTATGATGGAAAAAATCGAACACTACCTTAACTGATATCAGTTAAATGTGCCCGAGGACCGACACTGCTTCCTTTCTACAACCACTGAATGCAGACATAGCAGCATCCCTTAAACATTTAAACATAGAGAGCTGTAGCAAGCAAATCTGAAAGCACACGTTTTATCATTGTTTTCTTGCAAAATGAAGTTACAGTTGGCAAAACAGATTCTAGCAGAGTAGGATTAAATAATGTAATCAGTGCAGCAAACTCTCAAGAAAATAAGGATTTTGACAGGAAACCAACAAGATTATGCTAATCATTAGCATTGTCACTTAATATAACACTAAGCAATGAAGCTATATAAATTAATCATGCCACAATAAAAATCTTATTACACACATGTAAATACAAGAAAGCAAAAACAACAAATACATGTCATAATTATACTGCAAAACTTGTTGCTGGAGTTTCCTAGAAGCAGGCAGCAACTATGCAATCATATAATTCAGGTCTCATGAACCATTTTGAGACTAAACGAGACATAATAAAGCATGGGTCATGTGTGTGTACTTGTATAAGACAATATGATTCACAAAATATGTTACCACTTTTACCATCATTAACTTTTTTTTAAAAAAAACATGTTTTGCTGAATAACTTCTAAAATCCACACAGTTCACAGCAACAGTATGGAATAAATACATGTGTGGAGTAAATGCTGGATCACAAATGAAGTTCATCAACACAATTTCAACATGTCCGACAATGAAAATAATTACTGTACAAAAGAAATCCTTACCTCAAAGTGAGTGTTGTTAATGTCAAATGCCTGACCGGATGGACATGAAATCTCAATACAATGTGTCACTGGACAGTCCTAGCGTCCTACTGTTAGGGTGGAGGATGAGGTGGGTGGGACATGTGGGAGAGAAGTGTTTACAAGATATTGATTGGGAGGTCTGAAGGGAGGAGACCACTGAGAAGAACCAGGTGTAGGTGGGAGGATAACGTTAAGATGGACTTCACGGAGACAGGAATCAATGGTGTGAACTGGATGCAGCTGGCTCAGGACAGTCTGTTGGCGAACCAGTGATGAACCTTCGGGTTCCATAAAGAAAGTGGGCTATTCTTTGACAAGCCGAGTATACAACCGAGACTTTTCAAAGAACTTCCTGCACCATGGAACGAATGAGTGAGTTACATACAAAACATTTCCACTCAATGTAGTAAGCTGATTTAGCTTGTACTACACAAAGCCAGCACTAATACAACTAAAGAATAAGTAAAACTTACCATTTCTCATGTTTAAGTCATCTTATATTTATCACATTTGAACAGCATTTTACAGTTAAAAAAATTCCAATTGAGAAATTTGCTGTTCAAAAATGCAACCAAACTTTAAATTTAGGTTAATACACAGCATTATGATATGAATCAGCAGCCTGAAATGTCTTTTCCTGGCAATCTTTTGCGGTGCCAACGTTTTTCTACTGGGTCAAATCCTCTCTCTGAAGCCCCAAACACAGCCCAGGGAGGAGTCTTAAACATGTAATCCTGCAAGAAGAAAAACAATAATTTAATAAATTTAAATACTGGCAGTATAACCCCGTTTTGACTGTTCTGTCTCCCCGTGCAAACAACTTCAAACACGTTACAACTTTACACTCCTATTTCAAACTTTGTCAAAGAAATTGCAACACAAGTGCAGGTAAAACATTACTGAAAAGAGCAGATGACTGTAAGCTATGTCGGGTAAATACTTTGTCTAGTAAAGAACGTTCCATAAAGCCTTGCACATTTATTTTGCTATATTTACCAGTTGTTGTCACTCTGACATTCAAATAATTTGTCAATTACATAAAAACTTATTGGAAAGAACATACTTCCTAATTTTTCACTCTTAATTCTGCACTTTTATAAATAATCTGGTTATATACACCTACAAAATCTGTTTACCTCAGCTGTAAAAGTGGATGCTCCATCAGTTGAATAGTACCTCTGCACTAGTTCATGGAATTTGTTGTAATCAATCCATGTCCACCATTCTCCATTTACTTTGAACTGAAAGACAGAAACCATACTTAGGACTACACAATTTATAACAAAAATCAGTTTACAGAAATAACAACCAACACCCTTCAGTAAGATAGTCGGACAGCAAAACTTTGAGAAGGGTGAGAATTCTATTAACACCAATGACAGCCTCCCAATACAAAGATCAAACTCAATACTATGACAAAACACTCAGATCTCAAAGACCAAAAATGTGACACAACTGTTTGTAAGTTTCAATCTCGGAGGAAAAAAACATTAAACAATGTAAATCAAGACAATAAAATTTCTACAGCAATATCACACCGACAGACAATACAAGTCACGACTCTAAACAGCAGCAATGTCAAGGGTAGGGCATAAAGACATAAGGAATCTTGGGAGACATGACCAACGCATGCAACATTTTAGTCAGAAAACCTCATGTGAAGAGACCACTCAGGTGACTTGGGCATAGAGGGCAAGATAATATTAAAATTTATCTTAAAAATGTAAAAACTATGGTCAAGAACAAACAGCTGTTGCTGAAAAACTGAAATACTGGCCACTGCAACAGAAAGTGACCCAAAAGCAGTGCATTACCTTCCTGTGGGCTAACAGAACACAGTTGGAATGTTCGTGTTCCGAGGCAATCTCATAATCCGGTAGGAGATCTCCTAATTTCTTTACAAATGTGATAACTTCTTCATGCCAAGGTACATTTTCCATTGTTAAGTTACTAGCTTTGGAAGTTCCACAATAAGTCACACCCTGGAAAACAAAGTTATTAAAGACATGGAAACATAGAACATCTGAGCAACAAAGTTAATGGACAGAAGTTTTAAAACTTTGCTATGTGGTAGTTGCGTAGAAAATTTCTTCCAAAATATACCCAACATTTTCACTGTGTGTTAATTAGATGATGACATACAGAATATTGATAAATGCTGCATAATTGAACTACAGCGGCGATTCCTTAAAATGAAATAAAATCCACAAAGGGATACAGTACACTGGAACACAGCAGAGATTAGGAGATCCTGAAACATCACATGAACAAAAGAAAAGAAAAGAAAGCATTTCATCATTTGTACTGGAAATTATAGCGTATGTGACGAGTTTCTTTTGGGTTCTGGCGCTGTGTGGAACGGTCAGTAGAAGCCAACATTTTGGAGTCCATGCCATAAAGATGGAGACAATATACTCTCTGAAATGTTGGCATCTACTGACCGTTCAACACAGAGCCAGAACCCAAAAGAAAATCATCACTGCCATCGCCATGGAAACCTCAAATCTCTTACAGTGTACGTCTTTTTATAAGTCACAATTCTTAATGTCTGAACAGCACTAAACCAGAATAATGTCCAGCAGATCACTAACCTTTACTTCAATGAAATCTGGTTTACCAATTTCTACTAATTTGGAATAATCCATAATCTCATCAACATTCCATGACTTCACCAGTGTGAGTCTATAAACCGTCCGCTGACCCTTTTCAGAGAGAGCTTTCAGACTGTCTATGAACCTCTCCCAGAAGTCTTTGAACAGGGGACGGTCAATCTTCCGAAGACTGGATTTGGTGCTGGCGTCCACGCTCACATACAGTTGTGTTACTGGACCCATGTCCCTGCAGATTCAATAAACAAGACTCACAGAAGCGTATAATTAAACACGCATGCGTATCTGATAAACTGATACCCTTTTTGCGTAATTCAGTTATCTGCGGTTTTATTTTCTCTGAATTGTCTGGAGACGCTGAAAATCAATGAAACTCGATTAATTCGACCCAACCACAAAAAAATATAAGAGACACACATTTGGTTCAAACTGAATAGCTTTGTTGAGATTAATGTGGACCACAGTGATTCACATAAATACAGAAACAGGCAAAAGTTTTTTGCGCAAAAGATCCCGATGTTTCAACGGCCACTGTAGCAACACACAACAACAAATATTAAGTTTTACCTCAGAAACGCTGGATTTCAGCATTACACTGAAGAAAATCTTAAATGCAGGAAATATGGACTGGAATTTAAACACTAAGTGCGGAAGACCTACAGCTGAGGAACGCACAGCAAGGCTCCACCACAATTTAACGTCTGCGTGCATACTGTACTTCGAGTGAATGCGTACCTGAGTGCTTTTGGGAACTGAGCATTGGTGACCAGAAATGTTGAAATTCCATGTTCGTGGAGAAGAAGTACAAAATTACTTATCTCAGGGTACATAATCGGTTCACCAACCAATGACAATGCACAATGTTTCACGTCCATTCCTTCCGCAAATCGCTCTGGCAAAACTCCAGGTACACCTGAAATTATGTCGCACACATGAGGGAAAAATCAATCAACTTCATTACAACCATGAGTCTGCTTATTGCGTACGTCAGAATACGCGCATTATTAAGATAAAAACTCCCAGATAACAACACACTGCATAGTACATACTCCTGTATATGTGCCCCAAATAAAAGGACAAATTTTTTGGCCATGTGTGCTCATTATTCTGTTGCTGAGCGGTACGTAATGTCACTGCACTCACTTCTTTTAAGTTTTTACTTCTGTATTGAAGTATTCTGTTAATGATGGCTTAATTCTTTTCCATTCTTGCATGTTCCTTCTAAGCTAATTCCTGGACGCACACTACGATACAAAATTACAAGAACAGAAAACAACAATTATTCATGAAGACCATTTTCCAGTAATTCCTATCCTTCCTTTCAGTTCCCATGTGTGAACAGTTTCTGCTTATTAATTTCACATTCACCTTCTTCCCGTATAAGTCAGACCGAACAGAGTTTCTGATAAAAGCAGGTTTGTGATTTAATTCAGGTTTTACTGAATAATCCAGTTTTATAGAATTAAGAAGGTGATGATGATGATGATGATGATGATGGCTGTCTTCAATCATCAACCTGATGATACAGGCAGCAAGGACAACTGAAATGTTGGTAAACTTCTACCAGACTACAAGGTGCTTCAACGCAGAAGAAAGCCATCTTCTCAACGCCATGAAAACTTCAAATCTTAATAAAGAGGACGCATTATAATGAGGTTCTACAAACAGTGAAATCCAAAATCCACTTTACTGGAACAGTTTCTGACCATGACACCCTCTCCCACCCACTATATGATTCTTTTCAATTATCATTCAATCTTCCCAACACCTAACCTAACCTAATAATATTAGTTACTATATAAATGTAACATCTGAAATCCTCTTTAACCACATTTTGATAAACTCACCTTTGAACTGTTTTATCATATTATAGTGGTTCTCAAGAGAGTCCTTCAGTATTTTGTCAGGAGGATCCATCTTCCAACGCCATTCTGTTCCCACAGGATTTGAGTGATGGCGCCAACAAAACACACACTTATTAGCACAAGCCAGACTCGGAGTAGTTTCCATGCATCGGTGGCTTTCTATACCATAGAAACTGTGTTTGTAGCAGCCTCCACGTCCACGAAGCATCGACTGCAATCAAAGAAGAACATGACCTGTCATACAATCTAATACAGGCACAAAAGCATTTCAAAATCAGTCTCCATCTACAAAAAACATTTGTAATCACAGCAGGAGCAAACTTGTGGATAATTCGGTACCAATGAAAAAATGCAAAGAATGCCAGCAGGAACTGGAGAGATTACACTTTTTCTATTTTGGTATAACAAGAAGCAAAAATAAAACCCTTCTCTTTGCAGGTCACGTGACTGTACAACAAACTCACTGCGAGAAATTTTGGTACTACCTTGGTCCAACGGCAGAGCTTAACGCCAGAATGCGTGCCAACGATCCGGTACCCCTGTCTGGTCAGACTGTCTCTCAGCGCCGCGGTAACCATTTCCCGCGGCGAATTTTCTTCCACTTCCTTTTCTCGAGCTGCCCGAAAAGAACTCGAGAAAGCGCCCAACTCTTCCAGATCTATGACACCAGTTCCATGTGAATCTTGTCCAGAACTATTACCATCAGAGTCACAACCTTCGCTACTCGAATCACAAGATGACTCTGCCTGAAAATGGTACATGTACTCAGAACATGGCATGGTATAGACCTAATTATAGTAACTAGATTTTTCATTCATGCGTGCATGAGCGCACACGCACACTGTACACGGCTCTATATGAAACAACTGAAATCTATGCACCTTTTCTTGCTCACTTCCATCACATTGGCACGCAGTCCTGAACCTGTCCACTCTCATCCACAGCTGGTCAATCCAGTCCTGAAAGTCAGCCTCGATGCTTCCACGTTTGCTAGCAGAAGTATCTTCATCGCCCACACCAAGTTTTATAAAACGAGCAGCATGCAGATCCTGCAGCCATCTGTCCACCTGTTTCCCCACCTACACACAACACATTACAATACAAATGTTCTCATTCACGTATGTGGTCATTCAAGGTGAAGGCAGATTAAACAAAAGCTATTTCTGAAGAAAAACAGCACAAATACGTCAAACCTACAAATGACCAGCAAAAGAGACCCAGTCCTGAGGCACACAAAAGGAAATCTGCAAGGATGTAACACTAAAAATGTAGACGCTAGAGACTGTACCACAGAACAGCCTGTGTCACAGCGTCCAGCAATGGCTAGGGATAAGCGCGGGGTCCATATTGTTACACGTTAATATCTGCAAGCAAGTAAGGCTGACAGGATATGGGTGTACATGAAGAAACAGCCCTACCTGATTGAAATGATCCTTGTACTGGGAGTTGCCTAGCCCAAATACAGCAAATTTCATGCCTTTAAACAACTCCCTTTCAACTCTGAAGTCATTTGAAGCCTCTTCGAGCCACTTGCAGAACCAGGCAGCACTCTCGGGTGGCTTGCCATCAGTATGTGTAGGCAAAATGAACACACACAGGCTTTTTCCAGATGTCTGAAATTGTAAACATATACCAGTATTAATTGTAGGTACATAGTAAGCACTCAGAGGTTACCATTCTCTACTGTCAATGCTTTATATGAAGAATTTCAAACCCATCACTGTTACCTACTAAAGGAACATCCTGTTTGGCCAATAAGAAATTTATTTATTATATGTGGGAGTACTATTCTGTCCAGTAAAATAAATCCAGCTTATAAATGCTGTTAAATCCAAGCAGTATTTAAGAAATATATATTGCAATGTCCAATCTTTGCGACCACTTCATACAAATCCAATAAGTAGTTTTAGAGGTGCAGATAATTCCTAAACCTGTACTTCCTGAACACCTCTGACTTAATTCAATGTTCTGAAGTGCTCCCATCACCCTGGCACTTTGTTTTGAGAGTACAGGTGCACTCACACATGTCCTCATAACCAAAACGCTTGTTTGTCTGCCCGACCAGGCCCTACTCGGTAAATTTACCTCAATATTACTACATAATATACCTCTTCTAGCAGTCTTTCCTCAGGATCAAAACTTGCCAAATCAACCAGTTCCACGCTCAACCCAATCTGCTCACAGCACCTGCCCAATTTCGTACTGAACGTCTGTAAAACAGTAACCACAGTAACTGCATTGCACCATTCTCTCTATATTGTACATTTACATTTACTGAATTAGAATACTAAGCGCTGAGAGTGCAGATCCCTTTACTCATAAGCAACACAAGTTGTCCCACAGCAAAACTACTATCTGATAAACAAACACATCACGTGCCTAATGATCATTAACAAACCAATCTGACATAAGACAAGAGGGATCAAATGTACGTCGAACATTACTGAACTGTGTTTGACATTAACTGTGGTTAAACTGTATAAAACATGTACTTATTGTATTAACATTAGTCTACAGAAAACAAAAACCACATTTATAACTCCAACTCATATTTCTAAAATAAAATATATTAAACAACAAGCACACCTTAAAGTTTGCCTGAAAGGATCCTTATAGCGTATTCCTTTCTTATCATCATTAAAATAATGTAGATGGTAACAACAAAAATGTAAATGTTGGGCACCAAAATGAGGAACAGATGTAACTATTACTGATAACAATATTGTACTTTACCTTAGACTTTCCTGTTTGTGTTCCAAAAAACACTTTCACAATTTCGATAGTTCCTTCTAATACTTTACTTGGGCCTTTCTTCTTTGAACAGCAACGACTTTTACCTTTACAACGCTTCTTTCTTGTGTTTTTCTTGGCAAGGTTATTTTCAAGTTGTAATGACAAAGAGGTAAGCTCTCCAACCTTACTTCCAAAGACTTTTCTCTTGGCGTTTTGAGTATAATGTAATTTTACTTGTGGCAGACTATTACTGTCACCTTTACTGTAAGAATTATCATCCTGTCCAATACTTACAGAATCTGCTCTATTACCAAACACTTTCCTTTTTGGTTTTGAGCCAATATTATTTACAGTCAATGCTGAATCACTTGGCAAAATTTGTTCAACAGTGCAGTCTGCATCCTTCTTTCTGGTGGAAAGGGACCAAATAATGTAGAATGTTAAAAAACCCAGCAAAGTAGGTATGAAAAGAGTCCCAATTAATGGAATGCCAAACAAAGTAACCATGACAAAGCAGTGATGTATGAATGTGCTGTTTCTGCAAAACAAAAGCAGTTTGATAAATTGGAGCTTATTATACACCATCATTACAGTAATGACATATCACATGCGAAAAAGTAAAAACTATTCAGTAATGTCTACAGGACAAACAAACTTCAGGTGCATCAATATCTCTCCAGCTCAACATATGCCAGTGGAATGACATTCAGTAATCCGCATATCTCTTTTAATAGCCCAGCAAGCCATACATATGTGTATTCTCATGGAAATTACCAACTTTCTATGAACCCCAATGGTTCATTACAAAGTTCAGCTATCCCTGGCTACTGCCTGGAGACAACTTTAACATAGTTCAATTTCCCCAGATCACTGCACCTACTGTCTTAAGATCCAGTTTAATATAATCTTCCCATGTCAAAATCTGCCAAGCGGTCTCTTCCCTTCAGGTATTCCATTCAAAATTAAAAATATGGAACCACACCACTTTACACGGGCTCACCAATTTGAAACTTTCCACGTCTTCAATATAAAACCAACATAAACATGTGTCTATGCAAAGCACTAACAACTGTTTGTATATACTCTCATACCAACTACCAACACTTATTTTAATAACACATTATTATAAAAGAACTCTTTTTACCTGAGTTAAGAAGCAAACAGCAATGGTCGTGAACATATCATAATCACAATGCGTAAAACATAAACCACGCTCCTTCCACGATGAACTTCACGTTAACACGTACTGTTACTGATATACAACTCCTTTATATTTTTTCAACGAGATTTGGCTTACTTGGTCTACGTGCCAAACTACAATCTAATCATGCCTCCTGCCAACCACGCTGCTAAATACAGGCAGTGCAAATATCCTTAAACGGCAACTAAATATCCTTCCACCATAAGAACAAATTGACCTACACATATTGAAATTTCAAATATCATTTTCCAGTGAATTACGTTTACTGACCTCGGATAAAAACACACTATAAACAATAAAACATTTTATTCGTTCCTGAATCTGAACCACAACCCCATCAGTTACAATTTCACCTCTGGGATTTTACATATACAAAAGATAAGACGTTTTTGAAGTGTTAAACGTGGTATTATTACTAACAAATCAGATAATACTGGCTAATGTATTCTAAAACTGTATATGTCATCCCTAACCTAACTTCAATGGCACATGTAACTCTTAATAAAATATAATGCGTGATGGAGACATTTTATATTGCAGTTCAGATACCCTAAGGCGTCCAAACCCCTAGACCATGGATAACCAATATGCCATCTTCGGTAACCCATTCTCTTGGCATACTTCCACCTTTTCCTGGTATGTACTACTGGATGTAATCAACCAAATGCATACATCCACATCCTAATTTCTCTATTGTACACTACTTACCTGTGTTGTCAGAACTTTAATAAAGCTCCAGAATGATATTAACAGCGGTGAGGATCAAATAACCCACCGAGGATGAGAAAAGTGTGACCAAAACGTTCTTAAGGGACAGAATTAAAATCCAGGCTCATGACAAATGCATCACCAGGATCTGCCGGCTAGGGATGATGACAGCCCGGTTAATGGCCCAACAGTCTGGTACAAGTTTCCTTCTTTGCAAACAAGTCCCACAGAAATCCATGTTGAGGTAAATGTTACAAAATCCACCACAGGAAATTACTGAAAATAAAATTTGCCAAAAGAAGTTTAGCAAGGACTCAGCTTCAGAGCCATAAACCATTCTGTTGCTATGATTTCTATATCCTTGACATGAAGGAATTTGCTCCTTCTCATAAGAGATGTAAAACTGAAAGGTATGATTCAATAAGAATAGCCATTCTCATTGTTACACAATCATTCATGTGTTTATTAATAGTTACTAATAAAGTACATAAAAGGCATTAATAATGTATCATGAGAACACAACAGCACATACACAGAGTTAAACAATGGAAAATGCTATTCGAGGCATGAGGACTAGAATGCACTTCTACTTGTGCTTGGAATGGAGTGCAAATTAAAAAAACAAAACTGAACACTTATGCCATTGTTAAGGATTACCTAAACACAACATTTTAAATAAGATAACTGAGTACACAGATATTAACAAATGGAATCAGTCACTTCCGTGACTATTGAAAATAGAAAATGATTTAAAGCTGTACTGGCCATCATCTTCATCATCATCAGCAACAGCAGAAATATCACTGATCATACTTTGTTTCAAACATTTTGTAAAATGCTGGTTTAAAAAGACAATCTCCTTCCTGAGGTACAAGCAATGCCGTACATTTCTAATACTAAAACAATACTCTTGATTACCTGACACGCAATAATGATCCACTTCAAGCTATCAGCATTCTTCTAAATTTGAAAGCAGACACCGTCATCAAAACAACATCCATTACTTCAGTATAATGTTCTGCATTGAAAAATAAGTTAAAAAATCCTGCTACAGAAACTGCTTATTCTCAGTAAGGGCAGATCAAATGCACACGGCCACACTCGAAGCGTTGTGATTTTATGCCGATTGCACAAACCATCCGACTTCGGTGGTTACATCTTTTCAGCTTTGTCTAACTGAGAGGAATGGAAAACACTCTGTACCTTAGAACAATGCACTTACCCTAGCCACACTAGGAACAGAGGTTTCTTTACTTGCTCTTAATTACCAATTACTGACAACAAACACGTTTGCCAACACATACTCAGAAATTGTAGAAGGAACATTTTAAAGCAATCTGGGATACACTGTGGTTAAACGACTGGAAAATTTATTTGAAATTTATAGCATAGTATAGGGGCACACTCTGATATTTAATCATTGTATGAAATAAAATACAAGAGTCTCTGTCGAGTAATGGATGATATTTTAAACTGTATGACACCGGCAGCATAAAAATGAATTACAAAACGCATAACTGACACCAGCACTGACCAAACACAGTAAAATGCCTACAAAGTTACCTGAATTTTTGAACTTCTATATACGGTACATTTTTGGACAGTGTATTTTTGTTGGGATCAACATTTGTCTTTGTTCTGCAGAGCAGGAAGTAGTGTTATTTGGTCAGTGCTTTGATGCTCCTCTGTTTGGAATATAAACTGAAGCAACCAATTACGACACCTGTCCACAAGAAACATCCTACTTCTCTACAATGCTTGTCCTAAAAACAATCAAACCATTTTCAACATCTGAACAATTTAATATTATCAATACAAAAACACTTTAATTTTATTTATTTTAGTTTTGGCCAGCATTTCAATTTCAACTGTTGATCTCTCGAGTAAACTGACCTTCCCTTCGCTACATGTTCTCATTGACAAACTTCCTCTTGAGAAAGAATTAACACGCATGGTCCAATGGACAACGTACAAAAGATTTCACGTAACTCTCATTTCCAACACAATTAATCTCCTTCACTGGCTACAAGCACTTAATTATTTCCACACATTATGTTCTTACACACACTGAACTACAAAATGTATATGTAATTAACTTAAATTTAAAAGGAAATGAAACAAAACTAATTCCTTTATATAACAGCTGCAACATCTGCCATTTTATTGCACTCCAGTTCAGGTGGCTGTGTTATTTATTATGTTCTGCATATGAAATTCTTACAAACAGTTGAACAGCAAACGAATCAACACTGCAAGTCTAATTCACGTCGCATATGAGTGAAGGACATTAGTACCGTGCTATCAATCGTAAAAAATATCAGACGGAAGACTTTATTTCGATGTGTATTTGAGGTGATTTTTGTGAAAGGAATTCTTTTATGTTTTTCAATTAATTTGTATGGAGTAGTAAAAAATGATTTCCTTTTGGTAACTGAACGAAGGTCAGCCTTTCAAAGCCACTCAGAAGTGATACGATTACTGGCGCAGAAGGACAGAGACAACGCTGCATCTTGAAACTTAAAACACTGGCTTATTTAAGAGCACTACATAATCACTCAGAATATTGTTTATAGGAATCTACGTCCTTCTATACCAAATGCAAAGGCTGTTTATCACAGAAATGAAGTCAGCCTGTGATTGCATTACAGGACATATTATCCAACATTCAGTATCATCTGCTCCAAAGACGATCCTTCAACCACATTCCGTGACCAGCTACGACTTGTCGATACTTCACAGCTTCAATTTCAAATTCTGACCCAATGGAGTCAAGAAGATGTGGACCCAAATGGTTTGGTTTAACTTCAAGATTTCAGGGCTGAAGATTTATTCATCTGTCTGACAGGGCTTTTGTAGTTTGCAGGTGACGATTTCAGATCCACATCCTCCATAATCTGAAGAAAAAAAACAGGACGTACAGAGTTTACTTCCCTGATCTCATAACTGATGGCGGAACTTTAAATTTCTTCAATTATTCTGACTGCTGACAAAAATGCTTTATTACTCAGTCTAGATTGTGTAAATGACCTGTTATACCAGGAAGCGATGATAAGTCTCTAACGCCAAAGCCAAAGTTAAAATTTACTGGCCTGCGTACGCAAATATCTGGTTCTAAACTTTTTGTACAAGTTGAACGACTCAGATATTACCACATACATCACTGCATGATACTTACGCTGATAAAAGAATCAAGCCCAGTTAGGAAGCCTTCCTCATGATTTCCCTGCGCCCACGGCTGGCGGTGACTGACCACTCGTCCGTCGGGTACAGGGACAGTTTTGGCAAAGTCTATGATCCACGCTCCAACTTTGGTGTCATCGTAGATCATAAAAATACTACTTCCCACCACCTCATGCTTTTGGAAGTATGACGACCGCTCAAATCTCTCGCGGATCTCCTTAAGACGAGCCAACAGCCTCTGTCTGGCATCCTCTCGGCCACCCAGAAATAAAGCCACGGTCACCATGACTTCCTCACGAGATTTCACCTTCTTCAAATCAGTAACCGGTGGGGATCCACGAAACTGGAACCACGACAAAATTATGTAAGACGCAATATGAGATATTAGTAAGTTACGTTTCAAACGCAAAAATAAAACACATTTAACGCGCACCTTCATAGCTTCCAATCTGAAACCCTGACTGCAGGTTGAGCTTTGCTCTTCCCGAAACTGCATGTAACGGAGCTTGGTGACGGCCTTCTCCCTGTGCTCTTCAGATGATGGAGCTGATGGGTCTACTGCCACCATCTGCAGATAATACAAAAATCACTTCAGTTGCATACACAAGAGAGACAATTTAGCTTCTTCTTAAAACACGCGTGATTTCTATCAATTCATCGCTTCTGAATACGACACAAACAGCGAAAACTGAATTCGGACGATCACCGATTCAATAATCAAAGTTAGGACACAACTAACTCCGTGGTAGGGTAATTTGAACGTCTGCTTAGACCAAAGCCTGCCACCGAACACACTCCTCAGCCAGTTTAATCCACCTCTAATGTCTCCACTTATCTCATCCAAGATTCATATTAACATTATCATCTTCCCACGTTTCCTGGTCTTCCAATGTTAATGGAAATATCGACAAACATGCAACACAGAAGTTCTCAACAAACTACACCAAAGTGTTCTGCGAATACGGTGCACGTTATAAACAAATCAATAAGGGCAGAGACGAAAAACTTGTTACTGCCTGCATAAATATTCAAGGGAAGTGAATAATTCATAAAAATAAATTATCAAAGCTGATGATTGAGTAAGCACGAAGTTTCAATAATTTGTCTTTATCTACAGCCTGGGGGGTCCATGAGACAATATTAAGGGGTAAATGTGACTAAAGGATTTAAGAAATTCACAATCTCTGGTCTACCAGACTCGCCGCTCACCTTCTGATACAGGTCGGGCCTTGCCGCGGTCTTCTGGACCTCAGATTCCAGAAACGTGCGTGTCCCCATCTTGACGTCCATGACGTGGGGATCGGAGAAGCCGTGAAGAAGATCTTGCAGCTCAATGAATTTCTCCCCCTGAAACTCGACCTCTCGGAAATACCGCGGCACGACGTCCCTCATGGCGGGGTCAGCGCCCAACGCTTCATACACCTCGCGCTCAGCATTTTCGGGGCCACCATTGCGCTTCTTCCAGATGGTGCCTGGACCAGCTGGGGCAAAGCAGTCTGGGTGCCCTGACAGCTGGAACCACGAATTTTGCCTATTTTTCAGAAGTATGTCACTAGCCGGGGCAGTCAGATCGAGGGCATTCTGAAAAAATAAAACACACGAAATCGTCAGTGTGGAATCTGAAGGGTCAGCAGAGACGTATTAATCCAGTACAGACCACTTACTGAAGATTCATTTCAGAATTCTCCTCTCACCTACACCTAGGTCTGTCAAAACGTTCATTTACTTTCTTCAAGTTTTCATATTCTCAAAGAGCCAAGACAGAGCAGCCTGAATCCGTTTTAATATTATCAACCAATCTGCACGTAGGTCTCCAAAATATGAAGGCCCAAATTATTTCCCTTTGTACAACCCCCCCCCCTCTGCGATCGAAAACAAAGGGCAACACTTTAGTTAATGTCTGAATGATAATTCCAACCCAAACGAATGTAACCTCACATGCAAATCAAAACCTTGGTCATTCCTCCACTCCTGCCAGGGGAAGGATGCAACGCGAGCAGCACGAAATGGTCCCGAGGTGCCGAGGCTTGCAACGCGATCGAATCTCGTCCCGGAGACCGGCAGTCGCCCGAAATCACTCACCAGAGCCAGGAACTTGAGGAGCGACCCGTCTTCCTCGGCGGAAGGCTCAGTGTGGCCGGGAGTCGATCTGCAGCCACCACGCCGCCACCTCTTGAACGAGCTGACGGCAGCATCCCGCTTCTTGTCTGCGCTGGGCGACGCCCGAGAGCGCCACAGGTCACTCAAGTCGAAACCTTTGTCCCCAGTCTGAAAGGAAGAAAGACACAGACCTTAACTAACTTCAAGTTCTCGTAGGTCCAGTCAACTAAGCAGCGAGGGCATTTGGCGGCTGTGCCGATGGGACTGGATCGCGCACAGCGGGAGGGCCGTGCCAAGGCTCTTATCTCCGAAGGCTTTTACAATCCGACAGAAGCAATGGTCGACTTTGATGTTACCGGTGTGGAGGTGTCACGTCCTGGTCCCACCGCCTTTTAATAATTCGGTAATATTTGAGCAAAACGTCGTACGACCCTGGATCCAAGGAGTCAGGAGACTGGAGCAGTGGCAACGTTCTGTGTGGCGCCCACAGGCTTACTGGGGAATCTGGGGTCCCATGGTACAGTCAAGCCTCCCATCAGAATCAACCGAAAAGACGAGAGCACCGAACATCACGCGACGAAGTTCTCAGGGCGATGTTTCGGGTTATGGCACAGCGTACTCATACGAGTGTTTCGGGTGAAGATACTGCCCCAATTTTCAGGGTAGACATATATGCTCCTCCAATACGCTCGTGACAACCTAAAACAACTAGTAGATGACACTATCAGAAGACCACAATCCAAAAATGTTTGTAATGTAAGTTTCTAGGAAGTTTCGTCAGAGAATGACGTTCCTCTTGCGACCGACAAAGGGAGCGGAACTTTCAAGGTAGAGACGCGTCACGCCTGAACACAGTCCGGGTCTCGGAGATGATGGCAATTTCATTATCGAAATGCTCTGACGTCTTTTCTCCGTCCAACCGACGCATTTTCAATTCGTATCCCAGTCCGAGGTGCTAACTTCGGAGGAGCTTTTGAGGGAGTGGACAGGACGCGGCGGGCCGACTCTTGTGAACACGGGAACGAACTTTCGGGCTACGCGGAATGAGACATCGAACCGCGGCCCACACACGTCAGCCTCGAAGCACGCAATACTGCACGAAGCGTCGCTTGCGAAACATCGAAATTCCAATAACGTCACAGGAACTGCGATCCGACCACGCGCCGTGCGTCTTCCTCCTTGTGACGCGGGTGACTTCCGGTTTGCTCGCCGCATACCTCATTCAGTGAAAATGAGCTGTTCGTGGCAGCCGTCGTGTGACGTGCTCCCACCTGGTTTCCGGAGTTACCAGATGACACGCCTATCGTGAGCACGGGATGACTTCCTATTTCTGACAGAAGACACAGCCGCATCACACGACTGCGCCGACGTCGAAATTGCGACGGACTGAGAGTTTCTTTCGACAATGAGCAGAAACACACGCGAAACTTCGGCCGAACACTGAGCACCGCGTCGCTGGTTTGACGTCAGCGTCCACACGTGTGTCGCAATCTTTCTTGTTGTGAAGAAATGCCCCACCCGTCACCCCGCTCTGAATACGATTTGTCTGAAATAAAGTATTATCAAGTCATTTAGTATCTGAATTTTACCGATTTCCCATCTCACCGAGCGTGGTCTCCTTTCCTGCGTTCAAATATTCTCCCAGGCAGATTCCTCTGACACCCTTCGCACATTCGATGTTTATTCTCTCTTGCAGGGAAGATCCAAAACGCGCATGAACCAGGGCCAAACCGAGCGTTTCGCCCACGTTCCTATTTGGCGGGCATAAGGAAAAGAAACGCACGTACAGTGCAAACCAAAGACATTACGGACAAAGGAACTGGGACGGTCAGTATTAGTCTGACCCCTTGCATGTGGAACGCACAGCTTCGCCCCAACCTGTCTCTTTTAATCCTCAGGCTCTTAGGCATCAGACGCGAAAAGAGGAAATTACGAACTGCGTGGAATGAATCGTGAATGTTAGTCTGATAAGTCACATATTCTAAAGTCCATCATGCTGATAGCCGGCTTCTGGGTTGTAGCGCGACGTGGTCTCGTATAAGTTTACCGACGTTTCAGAGGCACCTGCAGCCTCCTTTCACCAGATTACAACCCTGCCTCACCGACCGCCGCGAGAGCCTCAAATCCTACTTACCGCCAAAGGTTCCTCCGGGGCGACCAAGACGGTCTGAGCCAGTCTTGAATCCGGTAACGAAAACGACCTACAGACCCGACATCTTCCGGCAAAACGGAATTCCTTGTGACGCCGCGTTTGCTCGGACGTCTGTCAATCTAAAGCAGTGTCTGAACGGGCCAGCGAGCGAGCGAGCACTGAGCGAGCAAGGCCTGGTATCGCAGCGCCGGCGGCGGACTGACGTCATTAAGCGGGACTTAGCTGAATGGCAAAGCGCTTTGCTGGCTGGGCTTGTCACTTTCCCACGAGGAAGAAAGCTGCCAGTTGCCCACCATCACATTCCTTGGTCCGAGTAATCTGCTACACGCGCAACGTCGCAGGTGTAACGCTGAGGGTTGTTGCGCCGTGTAGTCTGGAAGAAGTCTGCCGACGTTTCAGAGGCCCTTGCTACCTCCACCATCAGGGCGACAGGAACTCAGAAAAGTCTAA